TAAAGATACCGGGAAAACACCTGTGGAGCCAGAGGTGGCGATTCACCGAATTAGAATTACTCTCACCAGCCGCAACGTAAAGTCCCTGGAAAAGGGTCAGTACAGTAGGTCTGGGCGAGGCTTGGGTCAGAAGGGATGAGCTTGATGTGTTTGTTACCGTACAAAGACGTGAGAAGTTGGTTCGCTTGAACCATAACTGTTAAAAACGGACTGGCGATGAGGAGATATCTACTATGTGAAATTACAGTGATAGTTTTATACGCTATTCTGAGCCAGCAGAAGTTGAAATTGCTCAAGCTCATTTTGTTTAGAATGAACCGAAAAATGCTTTTATTTCCCTGTAGTGTGTGCTGACTTGATCAGAGGCGCAAAGGAGAAGAATCTTAAAGTGAAAGGACCAGTTCGGATGCCTACCAAGGTAAAATAAATCAGGGCTGGAAGGGTAGTGGTTGTTATTGGTTGCATAAATTCAAATTCTTGTCCTTCAGTGGGTTTGACTGCGACAGAATTGTTAGACTAACGACGTACAATAGTACAACACTAAATTGTTGGTAGATTTTTATTCCTGCTATCTGCCACTTAGAGGTGACTGTTGGAGACTACAATTACTGCTGTTTTCTTTTTCCTTTGGGCATTTTTTTATTTTTTGAGATGGTATCGCTTTGTTTACCCTTGGTAGAGTGCCATGGTGTCATAGGTCACAGCAACCTCAAACCCTTGGGCTTAAGTTATTCTCCTTCCTTAGCCAATAGCTGGGGCTATAGACACCCACCACAATCCTTGGGTGTTTTTTAGAGACAGGGTCTGGCTCTTGCTGAGGCTGATCTTGAACTCCTGAGTTCAAGCAATCCACCCACCCCGGCCTCCGAGAGTGCTAGGATTACAAGCGTGAGCCACCTCACCTAGCCTGTTTCTGTATGTGATCTGGTGCTTGAGAGTCACAATTTCTTTCTTTTTTTTTTTTTTTTTGGAGACAACCTCAAGCTATTCCCCTGGGTAGAGTGCTGTGTCATCACAGCCCAAAGCAACCTCCAACTCCTGGGCTCAAGGGAGTCTCCTGCCTCAGTTTACCAAGTAGCTGGTACCACAGTTGCCCACCACAATGCCTGGCTATTTTTTGGTTGCAGCTGTCGTCGTTTTGGTGGGCCTGGGCTGTATTCGAACCTGCCACCTTAGGTGTATGTATGTGGCTGGCGCTTTAGCCACTTGAGCCACAGGCGCCAAGCCGAGAGTCACAATTTCTAAAAGAGTGATACCAAGCAGAAACTTCTTGAAAGTATTTCAAAGATCTTTTACATATGTTCCAGTTATTAAGTTATGAATTCATAAACACTGGATTTCTTTTGTCTTTTCTTGCAGACTTTGAGAATCACTACAAGGAAAACCCCTTGTGGTGAAGGTTCTAAGACTTGGGATCGCTTCCAGATGAGAATCCACAAGCGACTCATTGAC